CACTTTTGTATGTATGAGAATGCACATTGTCTGTCGAGATTCTACTCTCACCGAATTGTCCATTTCAGTCCTTTTTATCACACTGCAGTTCCTCGGTTATTACGAACATCACATATCTGTGCATGTAACATCAGAGGACAGCTCAAGATCACATCTTTCGCTGGTCAGTATTTGCTTCCGCTGACAGTGAGTGAGAGGTCTTCTTCTTCCTCCTGCAGCATCCTCTCCCTCTGCCCTCCACATCCATCTTCTACATCTATGAGAGAGAGAGAGAGAGAAAGAGAGAGAGAGAGAGAGAGAGTTGGTACTATCTTTGGGGCTGTGCCCAGACTTGGACATGACCTCGGACTGAGACTATTGTGGGAGGCTAGGGGAGAGAGACTACGATTGATCGGCAGATACAGTTCCACTGTTCTTCTTCCTCCCCCTCCGTCTCTCTCCTCCCACCATCCTTGATCAGTGTGTTTATATTGCCATGCGTGCACGGCCAGGCAGCATTCTTCCATGTATACGCTGCCTGGCTCGACTCCGTTGCATGATGGATGATGTCTGTGCCATATCTCGAGTCTGATGAGTCAGATCTGTATATTTTCAGTCTTCCGCTGCATCGTTGTTTTTTCTCACATTGGTGATATCCTTGGGTCGGCGAAATGCCCATCTGAGACTTTTTGGGGATGTGACACAGACTCTCTAAGAGCCATTTTTTTTCATCAACTGTGCATATCGTCACATGTTTTGGATTTGAGTGCAACTCCTCCTTGCCCAGCCTCATCACCTACAACTATAGCTATGGTGGCTACGGCTGCTCCCGCATGACCTCCCACAAGGCTGGCGCCCTCCAGCAGCATCTGGCGCCACCAACTCCCCACACCAGCCTCGCGTGTAGCAACTTGGCCACAAGCCAGCACAAGGCAGAATGAGCCCCCCCTCAGGCAGGTCTTCTTCTTGTAGCGTTGACTGGCATTGACCAACCTCCTCCAGGACCGCGTCAACAGCCAAGATTTTCCTGAAGTCGATGGCCTGGATGCAATGCTGTCCCAGATGTGCCGTGTCCGTGATGGAACTGGAATCTTCCTGAAATCTGCACACAACCTTTGATGTGCATCTGATCTACACCCATGGTCGACTACTGGGAGACTTCCGTTTCAAACCGTGCGTGAAATTTTAAGAGTCAACTGTACAGCGTGGGGGTACTGGATGCAGCTTTTGACTCAGGGCCTTGTACATGTTGACCCTAAGGACTTCTTCAGGCCTCTAAAAGAATCAGGACGCGACTTTTGACCCCTCTTCCTGCCCTTTGGCCAAAGGATACCCCTGTTTCTGGCCTCCGACCAAAGGTTAAACCGAGTTTGTTGCACTTGAGGTGGTGTCACTGAAAGACTGTGCCTTGACAAACAGAGATGCGGCGGAGATGCGGCGGAAGCATTAGTTTTTTTGTGAATGGACACAGATCGCAACAGTCAACCCTGAGTGAACCACAAAGAAACACTGAATTCCCACCCCGCATCTGAAAACAGGCAGAAGACGAACACATATAATTTCCCGCATTCTCAGTTGATTTCAAATTCTTGCAGTTGTGTCATTAAAAGAAGTAAAATAAAACGTGGAGGAAGTGACATGAAGGATAAAGTACACAGACAAACAGCGTTCGGATTCCATATGTCAACTGTTAAAAGGCACTCACCGGCAATTCAAACAAAAGAAGGAATGAAAATTTCTAAAAGTCATATCCTCCTGCAAGAGTTGCAAAAAAAGAACCACAAAACCATTTCAAGGATGAAGTTTATACTTCTGGCACTCCTTAGTATAAACATGAGAGAACCTGACAATTGCTGCAAATCTGTAATCAACATCGATGTAAAACATGTGCGAAGAGGGAAGAGACACACCCATTACCAAGAACTGATAGAGAAACACATCACTGGGCCCATCTAACTCCTCAAATCAGTCTGGGTGTGCCCACCCTTTACTCCGTTTCTCTCTCTCTCTCTCTCTCTCTCTCTCTCTCTCTCTCTCTCTCTCTCTCTCTCTCTCTCTCTCTCTCTCTCTCTCTCTCTCTCTTGTGACCAGATAGTGACCAGCAAAAGATGAAGTCTTGAGCTGTCCTGTGTCGCAGGTGGAAGGCTGACTATTGCCGCAATGGACGACCCACCTATGACGGGAGGTAAGTGCTCCAAGGCTGCCCTGTTGTTCAAGACCTTCTCTGCTCTACTCTGCTCCTCTAGCGCTAAACTGTACAATGCTCCTCTACTGCTGCTAGTGCAGCATCATGTCTAAATGTGAACTCAGCGCTGCGTGCTGAGAACTGAGACCTCGCCCAGCTATATACGCTGGGCCAACTGCAAACTTGCCTCAGCCTGTGTCCTAGGCTGTCCGATCGGATATCACATTGATGGTCTAGGATGCAGGCTGAAGTCCTGGTCCTGTGCTGCTGGCCTCAAAATGGCCTGCCTGGGTCCCTACCCCCTGTCCAGGATCCTCTGCTGATGCAGCAGAAGTGTCCTGAAGAACGGACGGATAAAACTCAGCTGCGCCTGAAAACGGCTGCTGGGTCGGAAACTGGCCCAGCCAGTCCAAACAGGACTTGCTTTGAACAAGACAAAAGTCCGAACAACACATCCCAGACCGGATAAAACTGGAACAGACAAAAATATACTTTGAAATCTAATGATAAGTCTCAGAAAGAAAAATAAACACACTCCTCCCTCCTTGAAGAGCTAGGGCCCAAACTGGTTCAATGCCGGGCCTAGAGGGTCAAATGATGGGAGACCTGGGGCCCAAACTGGTCCAATGTCGGGCCTAGAGGGCCCGTGTGGGATCCGTGCATGCCACACTCCCCCCTCCTTGAAGAGCTAAGCCTACTTGCGAGGGTGAAACTACCAATCTTAAGGGGGAACCGAAGTTCGTGGGGTATCTGTTCAAAGTGTGGGCTCATTTCTTTTTTTTTTTCTTTTTTTTTTTTACTTTGGACCATTTCTCGATTTAATATGCGTGTCATCCTTGCGCAGGGGCCATGCTAATCTTCTCTGTATCGTTCCAATTTTAACGGATCATTTCTATTGGATGAAATGATGATTAAGTCTGATATGCCTGTTTGGTGGCAGTGTGGTAAGTAAGGTGAATGGTCCAGCCCAGGGCCTTTGGTGGCATGCTTTCTGTGGAGGAAAAACAGAGTATATGATACATCAGATGAAATGCCATGTCAACTGACCTGCAAATGATGAAAGAACCCAGCAGTCAGCATTGTTCTCTCCTTGTCTTTGCACTCGATCCGAAACCCGAAATAACCATTTTCTCCAGCGCTGTCCTCTTGCTCGATATGCCATTTGATCCCTTCCGCATTTCGTCGATCGGGAAGACATGAAGGAATCATCATGCTCATCTCACCATTGTGAAGGACTTTGTAACCGAGCTCCATCTTCACTATCAGATCCACTAAGTCTTGAACACTGACAAAACTATTTCCACATGGTACAGTTCCAGAAAGGATGGATTCCAAGAGCTTGAGGCTCGCTATCCCACTAGAAACTCGAGACTCATGGAACGCTGATGGAATGAGCTCCCCGACAACCTGACTGCAAAACCACTGCGGCTTCACAACCACAAACGGCATGGGTTCAAACCAGATGGCATCCCCAATGTCGTGAAGATACTGAGCCACAACCTGTGGTAAGTTTTTCAGATAACTGCTCGTAATCCGTGACAGATCAGATTCACAGACCTTCCCAATTCGCCCAAGCTGGTCGTCTCTCAGTCGATCCGGAAAAGCCACGGAGCGACACAGGCCGTCAAACTGATCCCAAGAGACGAGAGGTGTTTCTTTTGCCAATGCAACGATATTAGACAAAACGCTGTCCATAACCTGCAACACTTTGCACTCCTTCAGAATTGCATTTGCTCGGGTGAAAAGGAAATCCTTGACGGATTTTGCATCCTTCCTCGAGCGTGCATCGATGATGAAAAACTTGTCTTGAATGTCCAGGACGCTCTGAAATTTTAACGACGCCCATTCCCATAGTGCCTTTGCCTGGCTAGTGAAACCACCAGAAGAGGGCAATGGGTAATGAGGATTGAAGATCAAAACCACAGGTGGTTTTCGCACGGGGCCAGAGTTTGCAGCGATGAATCTCAGCCAGTAGTTCAGTCGCATCCTCATGTCCTGGAGCGATTTCCATTGCACTGGGCTTGACGATAGTGCCTCCTCCACAGGATTACATACTAAGACAAAAAAAGGAGGGACAGCCATGTTCTTACCAACCGTGGGCATAAAGAGATCGTGTATGCCATGATACTCTTCCTGGCCACCAAGGTCCCAGAGAATTATGCTGGTCTCCTCTCTCCTCCGCTTCTGGGCGACATGGGTCATTTCGATTCCTCTTGTTCGCGAATTGCCACCGTCACCGACGCCCTCCTGTGGGCCAACCATCCATCTAGAGGCCTTTTCGACGATGGACTCAAATTTGCTCTTACCGATGGAATTCTTCAGTGTTGTCTTGCCCGCATGGGGGTCGCCTGCCAAGAAGCATCGCATGTGCCTGCCACATGTGTACTCCACAGATCCAGTAACTTTCAGTACACTTTGCTCCCAAAAGTTCCGCCGTAACTTCCGGGCAATTACCGCATCTCCTCTGGCAAATGCGCCCAGAGATCTCAGAGTCACATTATGGTCAAGGATAGACACTAAACGCGCTCTCTGTGACAGGGATAACGACCTGTGTTGGTCCAGGCAGTCGAAATGTTCCAAGAACGTGTTTTCCTTGAGACCTTCCAGAATCGTTATGATCTCATCAGTGCACAAGGGGCTTTTGATGTGCAGCTCCTTCAGACTGTCATTTTTCCTCAACAACCTGACAAGTGTTGCAAGCACTTTTCTCGCTTCTTTGTCAAACGAGTGGTGATACATGGTCATGCTGGGAGGCAGACTGAGAGTGAGTTTTTGGAGTCCAAGGTGGCCATGACGGAGCTTATCCTGCACAGCATTCACGTCCGAGCGAAACGCCATCATCTTTCCCTCGGTCACCTCCATTTGATGAATCCCTAGCTCCCCAGTTTGACATGGATTCTGAAGCGAAGGCACACCGTTCGTGTAATCTGCTGTCTCTTCCATGCCTTTTATTGCTGACAAGAATGCCAGGCCATCAACAAGTGACGTTAATGCCGGCAATCGCAGTGTAGTCCCCAACAGCTCACATTCTTGCAAGCTCTTGCTCTTTGTCATGCCACCAACTAACTCGGACTTTCCGTCAGAGTCCATTTCACAGAAAACAAACAGGAAATGCTTGAGGGAATGGTTGTTTGCTAACATGTCCCCAAGCAAACAACCGGCACGCGGCGAGTCACGGAAGTCGCACTCGCTGAACTCAATCAACTTAACTTGACAGGTTGTCTCCTTAAGAAAATCGCAAAGCTGAACCAGAAAATGCTCTTGAAATATCGTCTGCATACGCAAAAATCGAATACACTTTACATGTACAAGCCGAGCTGCATGCAATGTCAATATTTTTCCCAAAGAGAACATGCAGATCCCTGCCCATTCCTTAACCCACTGCAAAACAGAGATGTCCCACTCTGCAACACTGTCATCACAATACTTTACACTTGCCGGTTGAACTGTAACAGTATTAATTATCTTTCTACCCCTTGGCAAATAGCGCTTTCGGAAAGTTGATAAAGTCAGCTTGTCCAAAAAACAGTCAAGAACGCTCGGCCATTGATCTCGGAGCTTCTCCATAGTGGGTGTCTCACCTCGTCTCATGGACTCCCACATAGACAAGAAGAAAACAGGCGTCCACTTGACACTCCCATACCCATAACCATCAGAAAGAAGAGTAAATTTGATGGCCTGCACGTTAACTGGGCGCCGCAGCAAGAACTCCATCCTGTTCGGAATGATTGTTTCCTCTCTCCCTTTCTTTCTCTCGAGTGCCCCGTCCTCCTCCTCCTCCCCCTCCCCAACCTCTTTCTCCTGCTTCTTCTTGTCCTCTTCCAACTTCATTTTATCCTACTCCTCTTCAGCTACCTCCTTTGCCCCTCGATCTTCGTCCTCCTACTCTTACAACTACTACCTCTGAGACAGTTCTAATTCCTACTGCCAATACCGCTGCCAACAACAATGCGAGAACTAACAAAAACACTACTGTGTGACCGTCTCACCTCGTGGTCCCACAGTAGTTCTACCCCAATGGAAGCAGCAGTGGCAGAGTAGCAGCAGCTATACTTGTTGCAGTTGCAGCAGCAATGGTAGAACTTGGGTTTGGCAACAGAAGAAGGCATGATCCAGTCATTGTGTGCCTAATCGAACAGGTACAACTATTGGACTTTCACCGCGGAGGAGTCTCTGGTTCGAATCCTTCTGTAGTTAAAATCTTGAACCGGAGTCAAAAAATAAAAGGCATGATCCAGATCCAGACCAAAGCAGGCGAGGGAGCATCTCTTAGCTGCCAAAACATGCAGTGCACATGCCCACAAAATTGAAAACTCCTGAAGTGCGTCAAGTTGGGTGAGATGAACAACTGCGGATTCGTAAATCAGCCAGGAAGCTGTGCACGGGATGACCAGTCTGCATATGCCAACAGGAGTACCTGTTCCTAATTGTGTGTGAGGCAAGCCTTAAGTAATTAAGGCTTGGCCGCCTTAAATAATTAAGGCTTGCCTCACATTTCCTATGGTTCAAATGTGAGTAAGAGACTTGCGCTACTTGCATTGCTCCAGAAAGTACTATTCGATGCCCATGCTCCTAAGCTCAGTTGCCTGTTTGTTGCTTGCGCTGCTCGTGGAGTTTGCCTCAGAGAGGCAACAGAAATGCAGAGATCCATTCTTAAATTGGGGGGGGGGGGGGGGGGGGGGGGGGGGGAAGGGGGGGAGAGGGAACACAAAGACAAAGAAAATGCACCAAACAAGAGACACAGAAGTCTGACAAGTCAACTTGAAGCCAGAAAAGCCCGTCTGGGCCTCTGGTGAAAAAAAAAAGACCTTCCACAGGGACCTTCTATCCTGAGTTCAGTCCTTCTCACCGCAGTCAGCCGCCAGTACATGGCCCCAGCCTTGCTGAAGATGAACTCGTCACCCATCCAAAAACTTTGCGCCTTGGGCCTACCGGACCACGACGGCTGGCGGCGCCAGTTAGGCAAAACTTGGCGTGCAGTGGAGCGCCTCCAGGCTCGGGTGTACTGGTGGTTTAAGGCCAATCAGATGGCAGCCAATCAGATTGGACCTTACTGGCCATCCTGAGGCCAATCAGATACTTGCACTCTTCACGGCAACCAGATCGCATTACAGTCAGAATCTGCAGCTGCATATTATCAAACTAATAAACTCCATCTCCCTCTCATGAGCACATCGACCGACATTCGCAGCTGCTGAAAGCGAATACTGATGAACAATGTTAAGGAGAGGCCCCTGTAGTTCTTCCTCACTGAACTCACTCATTTCCATCTCCCTTTGAAAAGCCCTATCGGAGAGAATTGGAAATTCGAATCAACACTGTAGTTCGAGGTTTACATATGGACCTCCGAGTCCCGAAATAAATGAGAGAGACATGAATGAGATCTAAACAGGAGGAATGGTTTCTAAAGTGTTTCTGTAAGTCGTAATGAAGTCAAGGAGCGAGCTGAGAAAGGTCTGAAAGGGTAGGGAGAGAAGAGACAACTGATAGCGCTAAGCCACACCGTCCTCTGTCCAGACAACAACCAACCTGCAGCACCACCATAGTTCAGCTGTGCTACCCCTGATCCATTACCAACTACCTCCACCAGATCAATGGGCTGACATATCGAATTATCTATCAACTGAACGATTGAGCAAAGAAGGCATGGTACACAGTATGTACTTCATAACTCAACCCTGCAGGGTGTTCCAAAGCAAAGACAGGTCAACAGAGAAGCCAGCAATGATAAACTGTCAGAGTCAGAAGAAAGAGAAACAAGAACTGCAAAAATTTAATAACTAAAAGAAAACAAGGTTCCCTGTTGCGGCTTCGCCCACAAAAAAATGAAGGGAAAAGGGTGCAAATGAGGGTGAGTAGGGGTTCGTTGGTCGGGTGTGGGTTTGGGTGGGATCGGGGTGATTTTTAGGCTCACCCGTGCATTGTTGTTGACACTGCCAATGGAATGCTGCTGCTACTTTGTAAGCCTTGGATATATATTTTTCTTTCTTTTTTTTTTGCTTTTTTGCCCTGTCAAACACCTGCTCACAGTTTGCAATCCTTTCAGTTGTGGTTTGCTGGGTTGGTGGCTGTCCGGATTTGAACTCACCTGTTGTGTTTGTGTCACACTTTGCATACCTGTCTCCCGCTAACCAAAAATATTCTTTCTCAGATGTCGGGAGATCCGCAATTCTGCTATCGTGTGGGGGGGAGGGCACTGGGCGCACAGTTACTTAGATCGGTCTCTTTCTCTCTCTCTCTCTCTCTCTCTCTCTCTCTCTCTCTCTCTCTCTCTCTCTCTCTCTC